AAAGATGAGGTGGAGTCCTTTGGGGTTACCCTCTTCGAGAAATTGAATAATAAATTACACAAACTTCGTTCCCTAAAGTTGGGGAATAGGAGAGAACCCCCCAATGGCCCCCCCTTTTCGTTTCATGAACGAGTTCTAAACCTGTCTAATGTACTTTTCAACGATGATGAAGAACACATTCTAAAGAAAGGTCTGAAATTTAACCCAGGTCACTGGGATAAACATACGCTGGATAACTTCAAAATGGATTTGGAATGTGTCATTCATAATCTAGATGATAAGGTCGACCAAAGTCATTTTCGGGCTTTGTGTCATAATAAGCTAAAGAATTTCATTCAACTCCGTGGTAGTTTCAATCCCAAACTCATCAAATCTCTAAAGACTAAAATTAAAAACCATAACCTTATTGTGACTAAAGCTGACAAAGGTAACGCGGTGGTTATCATGAATAAAAAGGACTATGTAACGCGTGTCGAGAGCTTCCTATCTAAGGACGGTTTCATTCACTCTAAAGTCAATAACGAGGTTTTCCAGAAAAAAGTCAGAAAATTGCTTTTTGAAAACAAATCCCTTCTTTTAGATAAGTTCCACATTTCTCATCTCCGTCTTACAAATATGAACCCTTCCTTTCCTAGATTATACGCTCTCCCCAAAATACACAAACCAGGCTACCCTATGAGACCCATTGTATCATTTACCAACACCCCAGTTTCCAAGATCACCAGCTGGCTTAACACGATTCTTAGAAATAACTTGGAAGTCCATTTTCCCAACTCATTCAAGAATTCCCTCGCCCTCGTTAATGAGCTTAAGAATTTTCCGATCACCGAGTCCGACATCCTTGTTTCGTTCGACATTGTCAACCTCTTCCCTAGCATCCCTTTTAACGATTGTTTAAAGATTATTGACGAACTTCTCTCCCTCCCTCAACTCCCAGACCTTACCTGCACTTTCCTCTCTAGATCCCTCCAATTGTGTTCAGAACAAAACTATTTCTCGTTTAACAATTAACAATATCATCAAACCACTGGTTTACCTATGGGTAGCAACTTATCCCCTTTGTTAGCTGAAATTTTTCTGAACCACTTGGAATCCACACTATTCCAATTTAGTGAAATTAAAACCCATTTCCGTTTCTACAAAAGATATATTGATGACATTCTTGTGGTCTTTGGGGGTGACAGGTCTGAGCTTAATCAGTGCTTTGAAATTTTAAATTCTCTTCACCCCAATATCAAATTTACTCTAGAAATTGAGTCTAATAAGTCTATTAATTTCTTGGAGCTGTCATTGACTAGAGGCACTTCGAGGGTGGAAATCGGCATCTATCGAAAACCTACCACCACTGACCATGTTATACCATATCACTCCAGTCATCCTCTCTCACACAAACTCGCTTCCTTCAGATTCTTCTTTCACAGACTCCTTTCCCTTGACCTTTCCGAACTTCTTTACTTGAAAGAACTAGACATCATTTTTCAAATCGCTAGTGCGAATAATTACCCGTTCCAATTGATCAATAATTTACACCGTAAGATGATGTTGAATGACTTCCTATCCAGACGTACCACCCTCTCTCAGACCCCTGATTCCCCTTCCAAATATTTCTCCTTACCGTACATTGGTCCCATATCAGAAATAGCCCGTCTCTTCCGTCCCCTCAAAGTTTCCATTTCCTTCTCTGTCAAGAACAACTTAAATTCTATCTTAGTCAAAACCAAAGACCCAATACCTCCTTTATCCAAGTCTGGAATTTATAAATTGGTTTGTTCTGATTGCCCAGCTTGTTACATTGGACAAACTGGTCGTTCCTTTAAAATTCGGTTCTCTGAACACATCACTGCCATTAAGAATAACAACATAAGCTCCGTTCCACCTAATCCCAGTTCTTCCTTCGCTCACCACATCCTTAGTTCAGGCCACTCGTTTTCTAAAGAGGACTTCAAAATTTTGCATGTTTATAACAAAAGTCTTAAATTGGACTTTCTTGAAATGAAAGAGATTTACCTCTACTATAGGACGAATCCTCAACACTCCCTTAATGAAATCCTTCACTTAAATAAAAATTTGCTTTTTCTTACCAAGTAGTTTCCAACCCCGATACGCTTGTCAGCCCTTCTTTTTTAGTTTAAGTTTACGTTGCCCTTTTTCTGCCTTCAGCAGATCAGGGTTGTTACTTTTGGGCTTCTATTCAGTCCGTGAGTCCCGACGACTACCTTCAGTAGAGACAGGGTATTTTGGCCCATTAAATTTAAATATTTTCTAAAAACAATAGCCTAATGTAAGCTAAGTTACATTCTTTTCACCTTTCTTCTTTTTTCGTCCCATAACCAATCCGGCCCCTTTTTCCTTTTAATTTTCAAATTTTTCAAGTTTCCCGCTTTTGCCCCTTCCCTTTAGTTGTAACCTGTCGTTATTTAGTTGGCACATTTCACTTTGCTTGTCAAGATGGCTGCGTCCATCTCGTCTCCTTTAATTTTAATTTAAACAATTGTTTTATAATATGTGAGGACAAAAAGTCTTTAAATTGTTAATATTGTTATTGTTTCCATGTTCTAATTAGTAATTTTTTCCCGTAAGTATAACTATTTTCTAGACTCGTTTTTAACACATGTTTTACAGCATATTGATAACCAAATGTACCATTTTAATATGTAATTTTCAACCACCTTTATATGTTCCTTTAAACTTAAGGTAGGTCACTTAAGGTTAGTCATTGTTTCAAATTATAATATTTCAGCTTGATAATGACCTTCGGGTCGAAACTATAGTCGCTGTCACCTAATGCCTTGAATCTAAAACCTGAAACAATTAAAAGAAGTATGGGGAAGGTTTAATGTCTTTATAAATCCACTTAACGGTGTACAGCCTAAAAACGGTTTTAACCACTAAGAGGCCGGTGTCAGCACATGATCAGCCACAGAAGATTCCAGATTTGTGAGTTCTTTGGAACTAAGATGGTTTCCGGTAAAGTCAACAGTGTTTTTAACCCAGTTTGACGATATTTGTAAAGATCATTAGGGACCAAACTGGAGTTATGGCCTTGATTCATTGATCCATATTATTTTCTGCGAAGAAGCAATTCCAACGCATTTTGAAGAGGTGAACCTCTAGGGTGAACTATTGATGTGACCTTTACCTAGAATTTTTTTGTTTTACACAGTATCTTTCTTTGTTGAAAGTCTAACAATTTCAGCAGTGTTGCAGAAATGTCTCTGTTAAAATCGTTAAAAAATGTGTTCACAACTACAGACTGTATATCTTCCTTTGTTGTAGATGCTGCACCCTGAACTACTCGCATTCGTTCCGTTTCAGGTGTTGATGATTTAGTGGTAACTTAGGATGTTGTCTCTTCTTGCTCTAAACAACACAACTGGCTTTCCTTTCTGAGTTTGAGAGATGATTATACCATCCCCATCTTTCTCAATCAATTTCTTTCTGACGGTGAGTTTTTTAGACCGTTCCCTCTGTAATTTGATCCATGATCTCCTCGAAGGAAAACTGGCAGTCGTTGTTATTTTCCAAAAAATTACAAATTTCATCCATGGCATTGTCAATATAGCCACTGGAAAGCCGGCCCCTTTTTCTAGACCGTCGGCGTCGAGAGGAGCGTGTGAAGAATGAGAGGTAACAATCTTGATGGTACATTGCTTCACTTGCCACTAAATCGTTGTAGTTAGCCAAACGTATTTGTACTTGCCGACCCCGTTCGTTATTCCTTCGATCTCCAGCTTCGCTGATGTGGGTTTTCATACCCATTGTCTGAACTTTATACGCTGGATGTCGTTTTCGAGACTCTCTCTTCAGTTACTTTGCGCGAAACGCATCTTCAATTGGTTCACAAGAATAAAGGCATATGACTTCTTTTTGCAGGAGGTATGCATCACCAAAGTAGTCTGTCTCGGTATGTTTCCTATTCCATCTTTCATTCGCAAAAAGTATTGTTGGTAATAAAAATTGAGCAACGTTTAAACGGCGAAGCCGGAATAACCCCATTACTTTTATTCCGGCTTCTCCGTTTAAACGTTGCTCAATTTTTATTACCAACAATATCCTTTATTGGGTTCCCCAATACAATTTTATAATTAAAATGTTTGTATCTTTCTGTTTTCACCCGTTAATTAAGTATGAACTTATACGTAGTTTTTTTTTTTTTTTTTTTTAATTAGGGTTCGACTGCTATGGTCATATCCCCTTTCAGCACAAACCATCTCTCACACTCTCCGCCCTATATATCTTTATACATATTTATTTGCTTCATAAAAGCTAACGTGCCTCTGCAGTTGTCTAGATTAAAGTTTTCAGAATAATTTGCCCTTATCTTATGTGTCGCGCGTTCCAAACCGTATAATGGACAGTTTCCCATTAAGTGAGCAATCGTGAGGGTTGTTCTACACCGGTCGCACTGTCGTGGATGCTCACGTTTATATATATGCTTATGCGTGATACCAGTATGTCCAATTCGTAGTCGGTGCATCTTCACATTTATTTCTCTGTCCCCGTCGCGCACCGTGTACAGTTTACCAACGTTCGGCTTTATTTGCATTAGGTGAGTATTACACCTTTCCCATCTCTGTTGCCATTCCAGTACGCTCTTTTCTTTCAGATACTTTTTCGCATCTGTAGCCATAACAAAGTTGACGTCCACACGATCTTTACATATCGCCGTTCGAGCAGCACGATCCGCCTGTTCATTTCCAGGAATTCCGACGTGACCTGGTACCCACATGAAAACTATTTCAATGCGTTCGAGTATGGGGTTCAAGGCAGATTGACACCTTCTAGTCATAACGTCATCAGAAAATATTTGCGACAGATTATTGATAACGCTCAGGCAATCGGTGACAATTAAAAATTTCCCTTCAACAACCATGGAACAATACATAATCGCCTGCCACAGCGCATATTGCTCAGCAAAAAGTATGGAAGAGAACCGACATAGTTTCCATTCATGTGGTATACCATCGATGACGATTGCGCTCCCAGCACCACGTTCAGTTTTCCCCCATCCGTGTATATGATCTCATGTGCAGGATACTGGTTACAAATGCTTTGGAACTCCCGTAGGTAAGTATCATTGTCAGTAGTTTCCTTTTTAAGCCTTACCAGGTCTTTCCTTACTCTAATGATGGGCATCGTCCATGGTTCAAATTCTAGCATATTTTCTTCTAGCAGTATAGGCAGAGTTATATTCCGCCATTCAAGATGTTCGCAAAACCGCACATAAGAAGGGCGCGTGATGGTCGGACGTGTGCGATATAGGTCCAAGTCAACGTTAAACAGCACATTATTTGGATGATCCGGTAATGACTTGATCTTTATGATATAGTTAGCCATTAACTGCTTTCTCCTAATGTCTAGGGGAGGAACTCCCGATTCACAATACAGACTGTCCACTGGACTTGTAGGAAACGCCCCTATGCAGTATCTTATGGCAGCGTTGTGCACACAGTCTAGCGTTGCAAGCAGCGATTTTCGTGCGGACGAATACGCCACGCACCCATAGTCAATTTGGGACAGTATCAATGCCCTATAGATCGTAATGAGACATTTTACTTCCGCTCCCCATTTAGTATGTGCCAATACTTTTAACACATCGAGACGCCTGATACACTTCGTTTTTAATTGTTCGATGTGTGAGATCCATCTCAGTGCTTTGTCAAACGTAAGCCCCAAGAATTTGGCAGTTTCAGTACATCGGATAGGATTGTCGTCCAGGTAAAGTAGCGGATCATAGTGCGGAGTTCGTAGTCTGCAGAAGTGCACACATTGGGTTTTCTCCCGTGAAAAGGTCATTCCAATGTTTGCTCCATTCCCAACAATTCGATTGATGGCCGGTTGCAGTTTACGACTAATTTGACCGATTGTTTTTCCAGAGAAAAAAATGGCTATATCATCCACATACATACATCTACTGACAGACTCGGTTACATTTATAGTAATATCGTTGATGGCCATTGCAAACAGCGTGCAGCTAAGGGTGGACCCTTGAGGTACTCCATTTTCCTGGATCTTAAGTTCAGAGAACTTATCTTGGACCTTCACACGAAAACGCCGGGCAGATAGAAAGGATTTTATTAAAAGCGGTAGGTTGCCTCTTAAATTTAGGTTATGGATTTTTTCAAGAATACCATGTCTCCAGGTCATATCGTATACACCCTTGATGTCAAAAAAGATGGCAACTAAGTGTTCCCTTTTACGAAAAGCTTCCTGTATAGCTTGTTCCAATAGGAGAAGGTGATCGGTGGTGGATCGATTTTTCCTAAAACCAGCCTGACACGGTACATACAGGTTGTTTTTTTCAAGGTACCATTGCAGCCTATTATTAATTATTATTTCAAATAATTTTCCCATACAGCACGTAAGGCTTATTGGACGATAGCTGGCAGGATCTAAAGGAGTTTTTCCAGGTTTACGGACCGGTATAACCACCGCCTCCTTCCATTCATCCGGGTAAGTACCTTCATCCCATAGCTGATTATATAACTGTAGTAGAGCTCTTGTCATTTCAGGTGTGAGATTAATGAGCATTTCATTGGAGATGCAATCGCGCCCGGGTGCTGTTTTTTTTTTTGCAATGTCGAAGCGCAAACTCCATTTCTTTTAATATAAATGGTGCATTATATTCTAGGTGACGTGCTGTAGCAAAACATAAATCGGTTTCCCTTTCATTTTTTGTTTGAGAGAAGATATCTGGGTAGTTAGCAGAACTACTCATATTAGCAAAATGATTGGCCAACGTGTTCGCGATCTCAAGGGAATCTTCAGTAGTTATATTTTGGGAGGTTTGTATCGATTGAATTATTGAGCTTTTATAATTTCCATTAATTGCTTTGATTTTTTTCCAGGTACTGTTCATATCAGTTCTTGTTGTGATACTTGATGTGTACTCATTCCAACTTTTCCGCTTGCTCTCCAGTACGATACGTCTGCTGATGGCTCTGGCTCGTTTAAACCCAATGTGATTTTCAACTGTGGGATGCCGTTGGTACTTTCTGAATGCCTATTTTTTATTTTTCACCGCTTCTTTAATTTCAGGATTCCACCACGGAAGAGGTCTTTTAATAGGTTTGTCTCCCGATTTTGGTATGCTAAGTTCTGCCGCATTTAGTATTGACGCCGTCATAGTTTGAACACTTACATTTGCTGGAACCCGAAGACTTTCTCGAAACAGCACCCAATTGGCTTTATGGGCTAGAAATCGTCTAGCTACGGTCTTTTGCGGCATAATCGTGTCCGTTTCAATAATTATGGGGAAGTGATCACTGTTGTGCAGGTCATCAATCACTCTCCACGTCAGTTTAGTCATCAATATGGGTGAAACCAGAGTCAGATCAATAGCGTCGAATGTATTCGATCGAGCATTATGATACGTAGCCGATCCTGTATTAAGGAGGGCCACGTTATCTCTATTTAACCAGTTCTCAACAATACGTCCTTTAGCATCATTTTTCAAAGAACCCCACAGGAAATTATGCACGTTAAAGTCCCCTGTCACAACAAATGGTGCAGGTAGTTGTTCGATAACCGTCTCAAGATCCTCAATATCCCAATCCTGATCTGGAAGGTAAATATTACATAAGGTGATCTTTATTCTGATGGCGACTGCCTGAAGTCTAGTCCTTAATGCTAGTGGTTCAAAGTACACTCCATTTCTAATGAAAATAGCAACCCCACCCGATGCTCTTTGACCGTCTGTATAATCCTTTCGGATCAAGTCATATCCTCGTAAAGAATATGGTTGACGTACTTGTAAATGTGTTTCTTGAACACACACGCACATAGGATTTAAATCATGTAAGAGCATTTTAGGTCCGTATATCTTTTCATAAGTCCCCTACAATTCCACTGTATAATACAGTTGTACATCTCGAATTTTAGACGTTTATAGTGTTCAACAGTTAAAAATGCTCGTAAATATAAATAAATTAATATTATATACATTTAAAAAAGCAAAAACAATGCGTAGAAATATCACAGATTGGTAATTCAATAAAAAACGGACTACTATAATTAGATAATTAATAATTATCACAGATTTTATCACATTATTATCAATTTTTCGGATCAGTGTTTCGCTGGCTGCTCGACTCCCTTGACTTTTTGCCTGCTTCATCACCGTCTCTCGGTTTTCTTGGCTTTCCAAGCGGCCAACCTTTTTTTTTTCTTGGATTTTTTGCTTCTGCTACTGCATTCTCGTCAACAGACAAAACACTCGAGTCTGTCGATTATTTCGATTGTTATATTAGTGATATCGTACGTTCTGTAACTGTTATAATCCGCTTTAGAGGTTGACAAAACTAGTCACCCCAATTATTTAAACTGAAACTGTAATTATGTTATCAAAAATCTCTAAACCTTCCCCATATAGTTAACTATATGGGGAAGGTTTAGAGATTTTTGATAACATAATATATTTCCACCCCCGTTTCGAGGAACGATGGATCCAACTCAAAAAAAAACTGAAACTGTAAGTTTTTATACCCCAGCGCTATTTTCTACCCAATTTTACCTTTTTAGTCACTTGAAAATGACATAGGTAATGTCGAAACTAGTCGGGAACCTTAACTTATCGTTTGCATATTAAAATTACTTGGGGACGGTAACGTTTTCATTTCGCGACAATTGAAATAAAACCCCATTTCGAGCCAAACATGGACATTACTAATTATGGAAATTATTTTCCCAAAATCATCCTGAAACCTTCATTTTCATGCCTACTTTTTGTAGTAGTAAATTAAAGCAACTTTTGTGCAGCTTCTAGTAACTCCAAAAAGCAGTTTTATTTGCTGCATCTGAGTCGGGTACATGGGTAGAAACCCTGCCATTAACTCAAGTAGGATTTCTCTTGGACAAATGCATTTTAGAAATTGCGGTATCACTAGGAACCGCCTGGAACACCACGGTTTGTCATGTCCAAAAGGTTATGGAAGGTTGTCCCGACATGCCACAATAAACAATGTTTTAAAACGAGCATTTGTTTCGGCCTTGCATCTTGAACCTCTTTCCCGAAGTGACAGTATGAGACGGAATGACGATATATTAGTATTGGACGTTATATCCCAGGTTCTATCGTCTCTTCAGCCGAACATTTGTAGACATAAAGATATAAAGAAGTTAGTCAAAATTGTACCTTTCACTGTTGAAACTTTTGGACCATGGAGCATTAATGCTAAACTTCTTGTTAATAATTTTATAAAATTAAATAATCCAAAAAATTCCGATACGAAATGGCGAAAACCACAATAATACGAAAAATTGCACATAAAAAATTCAAACTCGTTTTTCCTTCATTTGAAGGGAATAAAACGGTTTCATATTTAAATAGCGTTGAACTTTTTTATATCTGGTACCTAGTCGTTGGTACTACCATTGAATAAAAATGGCGTTTTTATTCAATGGTACTACCTACTATCTTGTTTGAAATCTAAAAATTAAATTCGATCAACCATGTTAGGAATTTATTACATTCTAATCGAAACGGAATGAAGGATGCGTAGGTTTGAGTGAAATTAAAGAAGTGGGTGAGGGTTCCACAAGAGTCTTCGAGAGTCTTCCAATTTGATTAGACATTATGGATGTTCAGACAAATATCTAATAGGGAACAGGGGTATTTCTTTTGTATAAGAAAAAAGGGAATAAAAACAATCATCACGAATATAAAATGAATGCGGAATCCTCGAAGCGTACTTGTAAGCTCAGAACAATTACGTTTGTATTAAAGCTTTCATTCTATCAGACTGTTAAAATGAACGAAAAAGAACCATGAGAAAATACACATTTATTTTTTCTCATTAGCAAATTAGCGAGCCCACAAATCAGTCCCATTCTACCGTCGCTTCGCCAATATCAACGGAATGCAATTTCGTTTATTGATCCCTTTATACTATATAAAAAAGCGTAAAACCTAAAATATCAGCTCACCATCTTTCCCTGGATATATTTTTGGGATTTGTAATAAATCATAAAACTTCCTAGTTTTATATCTATATTGTATCAGAATTCCTTAATATCTGCCTATAATGGCCTGAGAAAGTAAACGAAAGGGTTCCGGATAAAATATTGTTTCAAATAAACAGAAGTTCCGAAATAAAATATTATTGAAATTGAAAATCAACTCGGCAGTATCCGTAATTATGCGCAGTTATATCTGCCGTTAATTAAACTGTATACCTGATTAAACATCTCGCGTAATTTGATTCTCTCAGGAATTTTATTGAACCTCACAATATTCACTTACGTAAACGGAACGCGCAGAAAACGAGTCCGGGACATCATTAAAACCGACGCTCTCGGGAGCCTCCAAAAATATATCTCATAATCTGCATAAATCACGAATTAAATGGGCGCAACGCCTTGCTAAACTACCTGAAATTTTAATAAATTAGGCCCTATTAAATTTAGGGATATCTTCCCTAATTGATATCTAGACAATTTTTAAGTCCCATCAGTAATTTTTTCTGCTAATTAGTTTATAATAAAGAGGGACTGCATTTGCATTAATCACACTTAAATTACTAATTAGCTTGATTTAATTAAAGAATTTATGGAAGCAAAAGGTTGCTTTCTGAAATATTTATAAATCTTGGGAGATTTAGAAGGCGGTATGTTAGTATTAAGCGCTACCATTCTATCTCGCGCACTATTTTATATTACCTACAAATTAATGAAGATTCATCTACAAGGGATGTTCGTAATAAAGTTACGGCTTACGTCCTTTGCGCGCTACTTTTGTGTTTAATTAAAAATCGGTGATAATAAGACGAAGCATCTTTCTTGAATTACAGCAAGTGTAATGCAAACGAAATAAATCTTCCACCCACTACGTTCCTAATGAGCCTAATTTATTCCTTTTTTTCTAAATAACGAGAAGGTACAACAAAAGAAAACGAATTGAAACAAGAGAAAGGAGGATCACAGTGTTAGGACAAAAGGGCGTAGTATCTCCAGACTTCCATAGCGAATTTGGGATGCTAAGCTAATGATGGTCAATTCCTTTTATTGCTGTCAATTGAAAGTGTCACCATTTGAAGCTCTGTGGAGGCGTTATAAGCACGATTAGTGCACGCCGAAGCATACCCAAATTCAAATTTAAAATCGTCCACGCAGAAAGGGTTGCGTTTAATTAGTACAACACGCTTGGAGGATTGTGTTTGTTTGCAATTTTCATTGATCTTGAAACTAGGTAAACCATAATTTCGGGGGAAATGTTTTCTTAGGCGTACATCTTTGGAGAGTCAGTACTAAAGGCTCATTACGTATAACCAGATGCGGAATTTCTCGTGCCTTTTCTTAAGAGGAAATTGAAGAGAAATATGTACATGTAAACAAGCTGTTTATTAACTATGTACGGCGAAGAAAAACGGCGGTGGTGATTAAATTGTCCATCCACGATGAATCGATCACCGACGATCAAAAAATTTTTAACCGACTCTCCCACAGGTTACAGAAATGTGGAGCAGAAGGGGGGGGTAATTTTCTGAGATTAAACTGCGAAAAATGTAACAAAGTGTTATGCTTCAGGCGATTAGACGTACCCCCTCCACGTTTATAAAGAAACTCAGAAATTCGATGCTCGGAGTCCTGAAAACGCATTTGCTTCGTTTTAATTTCAGCCCATCCCGCTGCTATCATTGAAGTATGGGAAACATCCCGGTTTCGATCCCGGTATTCCAGTCAAACCGTCGTTCATGAATCTTTGGTAAACTCGCGGCGCAACTTTAACGCGGTTTCAGTACACCTTGTATGAGCAGTCTCTGTAATTCCGCATGAATTCTGCCGAGGATTGCAATGTCCTTTTTTGTCAGTCTCTCAAACACTATCGTTGTGACATTTAATTAGAATACCATGAAAGATAAAAGTCATCCTCTCCCAGGGTCACCCTGTAATCTTAACCATGAGTCGCGCTTGGCACTACTAAAGGCATTCGTATTCAAAATCTTAGATAAATAATTGGTTGCCGCACATAAAGGTTATGCACATTTTACTTTCAGAATTCATATGGGCCCTCCCTTAAGATTACAAAATTTGAAGGCCGTCTGATTCAATTTCAAGGGATAAGCTACCTAGTGCAAAAGATTCCACGACTCTAGGATAATTCCCCTAAAGTATTTTCTTTCTTTAAAAAATGCGCTACATAGAGACATTGTTTAAACAATACAAATAATAACTTCCCCCCTTTTCTGATTTTAAGTAGTAATAAAATCCTGGATTGAAGGTATAAATAAAGTCGTGAAAAAACGTAATATATACGTATTATCAACGTAGAACGTGAACTCTATGGTTTATATTTATGAATAAAAATCGTATTTTAAACGTAGGTATAAAATTTGTCAACACAAAAACGTATACCATACCACCAATACGGAATTGACCTTACCAAATCGTTTTAAAAACGTTTTTTAAACGAAAGCGTATTTGCTGGGATTCAGCGAGTAACTATTTATCGTACAGTATTTTTTAATTTTACATAATTAAATCCAATTAATTCTAATGCTCGTAATGGCTTCAATGTGTTCATTGTCAATGTTTGCCTCAATTACATTACAATGACATGGGGTAGCACACTTTTTGCAGCCCAATAAATTCTTATTATTATTACTATTATTTATACGTATAAAGGAGATGAAGGATATGAACTACTTCCAACACAAGTAGCAATTTAACGAACTGTACAGAGACCGTTACATTAACTCATTTGGCACTCGAACACGAAACGTGGTTTGAAGAGATTGTAAAGTCCACTAAATCGACCTCTGTCGTCCTTGCAGATAGGTCGAATGTCCCGAATAAGAGTGAGAA